AAAGAAGAAGAGCGGACAAGAGTTCTAACCGCGAACTCTGGTCCAAGGTCGGCTGAGAGCTCTAGAACCGTGAGCCCGTCGAATCAATTTTGACGAAATAACCCGAAGAGCTCTGGAAACCACGATGAGAGTCCAAAAGGTGACTCTCCACGAGCGCGCAGGGAAGGGTACGTCGAGGGATCGTGTGGTGACGGGGAGAGGCTAGAGGTTGATCAGGCCCCTGTATCCTCCTCTAAGGCACAGGTGGGGTTTGTTAGGCTCCACAGCGCGCTTAGAGTTCTCCACGAGATGGATGTCGAGTCCTCCTAAATGAGGTCCTCCCCGGAGATCTCCAACTTGGGCAGAAACCGGTCTAGCCTCTTATACAGCTAGCAAGCCAATCGCTAGCCGCCACGAGGGAATAATTTAGAAAGAGCCAATAGTGGGACACAAATTTACATACGGGTGGCGGGAACTCCTTTGCACCGGGGTTTTCTCTATGCAACTGAGAATGGCACCGTGCAAAGAAAGCTCCATGTGGCGGGAAATAATTCTGCAGTGCCGAAGCACACACAAATTCATACCCTTTGGGTCATGACATCCCCCCTTGCTGAAGGCACAGCTGAATTATACCACATGCTCGTCACTCAGGTCACCAGTAGCTCTTATAATAGGGCATTGAACTAAACGGGTAAACACAAAATCAGCTAACATAAGAAGTTAGTCCTCCAGGGATCAAATTAAATAATAGACGGCACAAATACATACACACATAACCAGATTCATAACAAAAAACTACACAATCAGGGATTCAGTGGGCGTCATGGCGAAGTCGTGCGTCAAGCCCTCACTTCTCCCGATTATGTTATCCTTCTTGGGGCTTCTCTCCGCCACGCACTCTGAATTCCAGATCTGTGAAAAGAATTCTCTTAAAACAGTTATTTCACTAATATTTAAAAAATTCACATGGAACCACACTATCATTTCTAAAACATATAATGCAGGTGTTTGCTACTCTGGACAACCGTCTCTTGCACACTCAACTGGATGAAATCGTCGAGGAGCCATCGTCTAGCTCTTCCAGATAATGAAAACCTAACTCATAGGCCAGTTGCCATTGGCCTGCATCCCCTAAAATCTGAAGTTCCCACTTATTGAGTCCAGAACGCTGTAGGAGAAATCCAAACATGTATCGCTCCTCTGGTGTTCTCTGTGGCAACGATGGAAGATCGGATTCGCGATGTCTTGCGCCTTGAGCCTCGGTCAGGTGTTGACGTTCCTGATCACTAGATATTCTTGGCTCCATCAGGATACGCAGTCATGACAACTGATGAAGAAGATTACTCACACTCCATGGACATGAGTTTCAGCCATGAGACTATAGCCTCATCAGATTTGATTTCAAATTCTCTGTACAGCTCCTGTAACTCCGTCCAAGCACGAATGTGACTGGTGGCGGCACAAACTTCATATTGTGCATCAGTCACTGGGTTGATCGTGGCTTCAGGATGATCTGTTACTTTGGGAGTCGCTGCTGCTGTTATTGCTTCAGGCAGGAGGGGCGGATGCACTCCTCTGCTCGATTCTCCCTTCCGTCGGCAAGAAGGCGTGGTCGCCGGAAGCGAGCAGGGATGCCGGCTGAACTCTCACGGGTTCCTCCGAAGCTCCACCCTCTCTTCTGGTTCTTCCATGCGGTCTCCCTCTTGCTCGGTGCCATCTTGGCGTGGCGTCTCAAGATTTTCTTTTGCAGCCGCTTCTTTGACCGCTTGAACGGCCATACGCAGTTGGGCTTTCAAACTTAAATTCTTTTGCATTAAATCAGTTACAGTACGAGAAGTTGCAGTTAGCATTCCCCCCTTGTCGTATTTCGGGGCCACTTTCTCATCTGTGGCACGTCCCTCCGTCTCCAGGTCTTCGCAGAGCTCGGATGGAAGCTCCCGACCCCTCAATCTAGATGCTACCATAAAGGGGGCGAACCGGTCGATCAGCATCGGTTCTTCACTCTCCCGAGCACATCTTAGGCAATGGGCACACTCCTGGGTGAGGGTCGGGTTTACTGCGCCTGCCGGGTTGACTCTGGTGAGGGACACAGTGTCGAGGGGCTTAAACAGGACCCATTTGTCATTCATTATACACCCGAATGCCACGGGGTGAAGACACACTTCCCTCTCTCTTGGGGCTCCGTCTTCGGAAGCTCCCTCTTCTCCCTTCAGCGAAAGGCGTCCGCTGATAAACCTCTCACCCGTTCCGCCCGCCTGGTGGTAAGCGATATGCACCTCCAGTTCCATGAAGTTCTCTACTTGGCATTTTCCACTGCACCAAGGGCAGTTCTTAACTAATTCTAGCTCCATCGTGCTTTCCCCGGATCCCATCCTCATCGCCATGTGCGGGCCGGGAGCGGTCCGAGGCTTTCGGGGGCGCGCGGTGGGCTGTGGCCAGCAGCCCTGGCATGTGGGTCGGGGAATTCAGCACAGCGGACTAGAATTAGGCACGGACGCGTAGCGGTTGATTAAGATTATTTTACTTACACCGTAGATGGTCGCGGTGCAAGCAGGAAAACTTGCTTGCGTTGCATTTACAGATAGGAAAGAAGAAGAGCGGACAAGAGTTCTAACCGCGAACTCTGGTCCAAGGCCGGCTGAGAGCTCTAGAACCACGAGCTCGTCAAATCAACCGGACGAAATAACCCGAAGAGCTCTGGATACCACGATGAGAGTCCAAAAGGTGACTCTCCACGAGCACGCAGGGAAGTGTACGTCGAGGGATCGTGCAGTGACGGGGAGAGGCTAGAGGGTGATCAGGCCCCCGTATCCTCCTCTAAGGCACAGGCGGGGGTTGTTAGGCTCCACAGCGTGCTTAGAGTTCTCCACGAGATGGATGTCGAGTCCTCCTAAATGAGGTCCTCCCCGGAGATCTCCAACTTGGGCGGAAACCGCTCTAGCCTCTTATACGGCTAGCAAGCCAATCGCTAGCCGCCACGAGGGAATAATTTAGAAAGAGCCAATAGTGGGACACAAATTTACATACGGGTGGCGGGAACTCCTTTGCACCGGGGTTTTCTCTATGCAACTGAGAATGGCACCGTGCAAAGAAAGCTCCATGTGGCGGGAAATAATTCTGCAGTGCTGAAGCGCACAGAAAATCATACCCTTTGGGTCATGACACTAAATAGTTTTTATATGTATTCTAGTTCCAATATTACGGTATGTTCTCTTCAGCCAGTGTATACATTATTAGAATAATGATGATGATGATGATATTCAGCTAATCACTTACCTGTTAAGATTTTTCTACAATGACACTTTTGTGCATATCCACAAAATCTGTGTTTTGACCTGGAAGAGCTTACACTGACGGTTTTTAATGTAATTTAATTCATCCTCATGGTTCTCAGCAGCTTTCTCTATTCTTGGATGAAGTAGTAAAAAAAATGTCTTGAGCTATATCAATAAGTTTCTATGATAATTAAGTGTGTAGACAGACAGATATTGTGGAGTATTTCAGGTCTTGCTCCAATATGAAGCACTTCAAACTTGGAGTCCTTTAGTATCATATGTACCCCTCCCAGCTAAAATACTTCAAAATAGCTCTGAGTCCATGCTGTGGCAGTGCTGTGTTGCAGTGTATTGGAAGTTCATAGTGTTGCAGTGTATTGGCTGGCTCTCCCTGGGGTATCCCAATGCAGGATCCTCCCCTGTTGAGGTGATGGGGGCTGGGAGGTAGTGGTAGTCTGCTCCCTGGTCAGGACCTGAGACTCAAATTCACCGGTGCAATCACAGTACTGAAGTACTGAAATTTACCAGGTGGTTGGATCAACCGCTCCTCATAGCAGGCACAAATCATACTCCAAGCAACCAATATCCAGTTGGTGTCACGGGCCAACTTATACCACACCTGTATACCTTATACCACAATGGGTGACAGTTGTAGTTCTACTCTTGAACAGGCATTTTGGAAGCAATGAATTCACAGATGGCCTAGTTACAATGACTTGTCCTCACTGAGCTCTCAGTGTTCTCATTGCCCCAGATGGCAAGGAGGTCTATTACCTCTGCCTTCCTCTAGTTAGTTGACCATCTCATATACACACAGAAGGCAGTAGCACAGACATTCCCTGTGCAGTCCATTTGTGAAGACCAACACTGTTCTGGTATGTGAGATGCCTAGTCTTTAAGGTCTAGGTCCAGCAAAACAAGCATGTAGTGTGTGCTTTTGCACCTGGCTGTAAATAGGCAAGGTCATATGCTAGCCAAATCTTGTGACTCTGCAGCAGTGAAGTTCAGCATTAGACACTGAAGCAGCTCCTTGAAACAAATGGAGGGATGGGAAGCAAAATTCTGTGGGATGCTTGGGTGCTGACCAATTCACACTCTGCTGAAGGGTGCAAACATAACATGAAACAGTGCACAATGAAGCACTGCATAGTAGTTTCTGTTTTTTCTGGGGTCATTTCTAAATTGGAATGGCCATTTTAGAAGTATTTTATTAGATACATAGAGGGGCAGATATGGGGAGCATGAAGTGGCACAGTCACACACTCCCCCAGAATTCTTTCTCTACCCCAGGGGCAAGCAAATTATGGCCCGGGGGCTAAGGGGCAGGACTTCTGGTCATGAGATGATGACCAGGGGGTGGGGCATGTTTCAAGGGGCAGGGCTACCCAGGCAGCCCTCGACAGGTTGCTGAAACTTGGTGAGCGGCCCTCCACCTGAAATAATTGCCCACCCCTGCTCTACTCAAACTTTAAGACCAACTGCTTAGGAGGGGCAGCAACATTTCTATTCTGGCAATGTTGATATTGTCAATTGAATTCATGGTTCATTACAATTTACCGGATTCCTACCACTCTCTCTTTACTTCACAGATGTTAATGGCCCTCTCTCCTTTTTAGTGGCCTCCATGTTTCAATATTCTTTCTTCTGCAGTTTTGCTGTTGGACATTCCTGGTAATGTTTCTCTTTTATTTCACAGCCCTGCAGACTGTTTTTAGCTCTAGTTAAAAACCTTAGCTCTGATATAGAAAAGACTGACAGCAAAGTATTGAAGGCACTGTCAAGATGCTCAGGAAGATCAGATTTTATTTTATGAATCTGAATAAGAGATGTGCATTTAACTATAATGACTACAGGGGACTAATGACACAATATCTTTTGAGTATTTTAGCCCATTTTTGCTTAGTTTCTTGTGTTTTATATATTTAAAATATAATCTAGTAAACTAGTGAACATTCCAATAAAGTTATATTTATTTTTGCTTTGTTCTTAAACTGAACAATATAGTGCTAGGCTCAAAACTTCTAGTTTCTCTTTATCTGGAGAAAAATGTGTATCCTGTTACACATAAGGATGCACCATATTATCTGCACCCCACATATATCTGTTGCCCCCCTTTCTGAAGGGTTTTAAAAGCATTTGGAACACTTCAGATGTTACATCTGTCTATATCCTAAATCATCTTTAAGACTGGATATTCACACTTAACTGAAAATACTAGACCTAGGCTTCTTCTGTTTTTCATTGAGTCTTTAAATTATGTCCAACCTCTCTACATGCTTGTAACCATAGAGATCACATTCTCACTACTGTATTGTCTAGAACCTGAGTGGCAAGACCTGCCTGTATCTGAGGGTAAGTGGCTCCACTGGGGCAGCCTGTAATCTATATTGATTCTTTGGTCTGTCAAAGACATTGTTATTGCTCCCCTGAAGAGCTGGAAGCACACACAAGTTGTTGGTGCAGTTTATAACTTCTCCCAAAACACTTGCTGTCTATGATAAGACCACGATATATGCTTACTGCAGTGTACCAATCTGTACGTTCTTCTGCCTCACTCAGAATCTGCACCTCACACTTTGGTTGTACTTCCTTTTGCTTTTTTTCTTTTGGGGCTTGGCTCACCTAACTCAAGGCCTCCTAATAAGCCTTCTGCTGGCATTGGCAAGCCTGGGTTTACTCTGTTTCTTCTGATTGGTAAAACAGGAATTGTAAGTCATTAGTATACAAATAGCCTGAGAATTTTTAGTTTAATATCGGTCAGGTTTTCAAGCATGAGATAAGTATGGGAGTTCTCTGCTTCCCCAAAACACATTCATAATGCAAATTTTGCAAAATGAAAGCTTACTATTCCAAACCCCTGCAAAGATTAGTTCTGGTTGTCAAATTGTACATTCATTGTTTCCTTTCTGTGAAAGAAATACAAAGGATTGAATGTCATTGATTTTATTCATAACTTTGCATTATAGTTATTGAAGATGGGAACATGGTTCCCATCTTCAAAAAGGGGAGGAAGGAGGACCCGGGAAACTATAAGCCAGTCAGTCTTACCTCGATCCTGGGCAAGCTGTTCGAGAAAATTATTCTGGCACACATCCAGGAGGGGCCAGCAGGGAAATGCATGCTCAGGGGCAACCAGCATGGGTTCATCAGCTGCAGGTCATGTCAGACAAACCTGGTGGCCTTCTACGATCAGGTCACTAAATCATTGGATGCAGGGGTAGCAGTGGATATAGTCTTCCTGGACTTCCAGAAGGCTTTCGATACTGTCTCTCACCCCGTTCTCATTAGGAAACTGGGGGACTGTGGCGTAGACACCCACACAGTCCAATGGGTCGCCAACTGGGTAGAGAGCCACACCCAGAGGGTGGTAGTGGATGGGTCCTTCTCGGCCTGGAAGGACGTGGGCAGTGGGGTCCCGCAGGGCTCGGTCCTCGGGCCCGCCCTGTTCAACATCTTCATCAGTGATTTGGATGAGGGGGTGCAAAGCACCCTGTTCAAATTTGCTGATGACACCAAGATGTGGGGGGATGTGGGCACAATAGAAGGGAGCAACAGGCTATAGTCAGACCTTGACAGGTTACAAGGATGGGCGGAGGAGAACAGGATGGGGTTCAACACAGACAAGTGCAAGGTGATGCACCTGGGGAGGAGCAACCGGCACCATACCTACAGGCTGGGGAAATCCCCTCTTGTCAGCACGGAGGTGGAAAAGGATCTTGGAGTCATTATTGACTCCAAGATGAACATGGCTCGGCAGTGTGGGGAGGCGGCTAGGAAGGACAACTGTACCTTGTCGTGCATCCACAGATGCATTTCAAGCAGGACCAAGGAGGTGATCCTCCCCCTCTATGCGACACTGGTCAGGCCGCAGCTGGAGTACTGCATCCAGTTCTGGGAGCCGCACTTTAAGAGGGATGTGGACAGCATCGAGAGGGTCCAGAGGAGGGCCACTCGCATGATCAAGGGACAGCAGGGAAGGTCCTATGAGGAAAGGTTACGGGACCTGAACCTGTTCAGCCTCCAGAAGAGAAGGCTGAGGGGGGAATCTTGTGGCCTGCTATAAACTAGTCAGGGGGAATCAACAGGCACTGGG